GTTTTAGAACTAACACTCTTTCTATTGCAGAAGAGACGAAATGAAGCGAAAAGCTCCTTAGATTCATTGTCCATTTGTTGCATGTATGCTCTAGCCACATCATCGTTTCCATCAAGAGATATATAGTTTCCAGCTGCATTCATAATCATTTAAGTCATCAATGTGACACAGCATTTATTCTGATCAAAAGGGCCTAAGAAATTTGTTAATGATTACTTGGCGTAGGAATGGAAGCTGCTTTTTGTCTAACATGGAGCAATAAGAGACTTTGGTCTTTGGGAAGAAGATTATCCACTGCCCATTTGGCTGCATATTGGCTTGTTTTGTTGTTTTCAATTGCCACTGCCACAATACGTCCACTTCCTAGCTTCTTCTCTTGAATCAACCTTGACATCTTTCTTTTCCTGTTGGAAAACTATGACGCTTGACAGAAATTTTCTAACTTTCTCTCAGAGGCCTTAGTTTTTGTGTTTCGTAGTTACTTTGGATTCTCCCAGAGGCTGGCCTTATATATTGCAATTAGTTATAACCAGTTGTAACTTGTAACACCGCTATTTAAAGCATTCTTTGAAACTCCAACGGAATTTTGAGTTCTGTTGCGATGTGTCAACCCTATAATAGTTTGCATTTTGTTATTACCTTCCAAAATTAGTGAATGTTCACCGAACAATGTCCTTTGACTTGTTCATCTTCCATCATCCAGTTAAAAACATTGCTCTAATCTTGGATGATCGACACGAAAGCAGACATAATTAGTTTTACGAGGATACACGTGTTTTTTATACTAAGAAATGTTATCAAGAATTTCACTTATTTATTTCTTTTCCTGTATAACGCAAGTTACACAACTCATATATCTCTAACTGATCAAACCCAAATTAAGTACAACTATCATAAATAATAACATTGTGGAATTTGTTTAACTCGTTGATATTTTTATTATTAATTACCGAGTAAATTATCAGAAAGATATATCTTCTCTTCTTAAATTAAATTTTACAGTATTCTTTTTCAACAAATTTCAATATATAACATTACTCATTTTTTAAAAAAATTTAACTTCTGTTACAAAATTTTTTTATTACCAAAATACTTTTATACTAATGTCCTTTAATATTACATCACTCATCTTTTTCATGTTAAAATAAATATTTTTCTCTTTAACAAATTTAAATATATTATCCTTAACAAATTTAAATATGTTACCGTTTAGAAATTTATATATTTTTTATTATTTTCATTTTTTAAATAATTTTTTCTAAATTAATTATATTTAAAAATATATTTTTCATTATTAATTTTACAAAGTATTTTAAAGTTATATATCAAAATTAAAATGTTATATATAAGTATTTTTTTTGGATGACGTCCTAAGAGTTTGTCTTATATATATATATATAATAAAATTGAAGGTAAGTATTGAAATAATATTTAATCAATACAGTTAATATAATATTTTTATAAAAATTTAATTAAAATAATAATTTCATTATAATATTAATTATATATAGTAAAGGTAATAATACATAAGTATTAAGATATTATTTAATTGATATTTCTAATAAAATATTTTATAATATCTAAGTAAACTAGTATTTTATGATAAATTAGTATTTATTATATTTAATTAATATAGTGGAAAATATGTATATTAAATATATAATTTTTTGAATAAATATTTTTATATTAAAAATTTATCATTAAATAAAATATAATTATTACAAAATTTGATATTTATATATATGTGTTAATTTATATTACATATTTATATTTTTTATTTTATTTATAATTTTATGCATTTACATGTACTTTTATTTCTTAAGTTAACTACAAACATTGATTCCTTTTAAAATAATTATCTTAATAAATTAAATATTTGTTTTTGTATTCATAAAATGTGCGAAAGCACCCGAGTTAGCCGTACGGAAGAACGAGTATCATATTAGTTTTCAAACTAAAAACCGGTTTTCATTAAAATAAATTGAGAATTTATAACTAAAAACTACTTCAAACACAATCAAATTTAAACTTATTCATTAAAATGAATATTTAACTTATTAAATTTAAATAATTCTCTTAACAATACATTTTGTTTTCACATCCTGTGTATCGTTGTTATAATATTGACTAATTTTCACGCAAAATATAATCAATTTTATTAATTATTTTTTAAAATTAACGATCTTAATTATATATTATATGAAAATTGATTAAGATTATAGTCACGTAACAATCAGGGACTAATAATAATTTTAGTGGAAGGAAAGACCTCCATCAAATCCAAAAGGCAAAAGCAAAGAAATAAAAGACGAGCCTCTCGCGATTCAATTATGACATCAAGCCCATGTCATACCCTTTTCCATTAATTCATGCTTTCTTTCGATTAAAATATTTATTATTCAACATTAAATATCATATCAAAAGAAAACGTAATGCCCCAGTCCCAGTTCCAGAAAATCAATGAATGAATGAGTAACTAAATTTGTATTTAGTATCAAATTAATATTTTCAAGTCGAAGACTTCAGGTCTGCTTCACTAGCATAAGAAGTATAAAAATTTTCTTGATCATGATCTCTCTGCTTCACCTCCTGGATTTTCTCTACTGCTTCCTTCAAATCCCATCTCTTGTCCACATCCCCTTCACAACAACACAAAGCAATCTTCAAAAGCTTCCCCATCTCTCCCTCACAGTTCTGTGTTGCCCCCATCTCTTGATCAAACACTGCATTGGTCCACTCTTCTGGGACCACTGAATGCACCCAACTTGCCAAACTCACCTCACTACCCTTCCCTTGTTGCAAAAAGTTGGCAGGGAATTTCCCAGTTAGGATCTCAAGAATTAGTATTCCAAGACACCACACATCAGTCTTCTTTGTGATTCTTCCTTGTTGCAAGTACTCAGGAGACTTGTATATGACCATGATGTCTTGAGCCAGTTCTTGGTTGATCACTGGGACTAGGCCATAGTCTGTGAGGAGAGGCTCAAAAGACTCTGTCAAGAGGACATTGGAGGACTTAAGGTTTCCATGGGGTGCTATTAGTCTTGGCATGTCCCTGTATAGATATTCAAGACCCTTTGCTATGCCTTTCACAATCTTCAACCGGATTGGCCAATCAAGGCTAGGTTCTCCCAGGGATTGGTGTCCTGAAACAAGTAACCATTATGTATAATTATCTCTTGCATAAGCAAATTGATGTTTGTAGAATGTAGAGTGACTACATTATTTCATTTCCAAAATTGTCAACCTATGTTAATTTGTCCATAAATAATAGATGTATTGTCTTTTACATTATCATCCAATCATAAACAGCATATATGGTAAACTTGTTGGGTTTTATCACAATCACCTTAAAAGTTATATTAAAGATGATTTTTTAATTAATTGATGGTGTAAAATATTTTATCCTTGATCATGTCAATAACTCCATATATATGCAGTTTAGCCCTTGAATATGTTCACTTCATTCATGTCAAATTAGACCTTTTGTCGTGAAGTTAAGTAACTACGGAAATTTAATATGTGATGAAGTTGATACTAGATAGATTCAAAGAATAAGGTTATATTTTGATAAACTTCTCTAGCATTTAAAGAAAAGGCTAAAATAAATCTGGTTTCTCCATAAATTTAAATCTAACTTCTCCAAAATTTGCAATACTTATGTTGAAACTTATGGAGAAACTCAATTTATTTACTCAATTTATTTTACCATTTTAGAGAAGTTTATCCAAAGTAAATCTAAATCTTACAAGAACCAAATTATTACATGTTGCCACTTTTGGGACCAACTTGTATATTAGTTATATTTATACACAGTGAACAGAACACTGCACAACTAGTTGACTAAAATCTAGACTTCAATGCAAATGTGAACAATTTAGTAACTAGTGAAGGGTTATATCTCCAATTCATCAATGTCTTTAAAAATATAAAAGGTTGAAAGTGGGTTGATAACACATACCATGAAGTCGAACAGCCAAACTTCCATTCTGAACAAAGTCAGTGACCATGAGCTTCTCCTCCTTCCTATAATAGTAAGCCACAGGAGGAAGCAAGTTAGGATGACTCAACCTCCCAATCCTCCTCATGTGCTCTTGAAACTCTTCCTTTCCAACATTGTTCATCTGCTTGAACCTCTTCACCACTATGGTTGGCCCATCCAGCAGAGAAGCCTTGTAGGAAGAGCTGAAGCAGCCACTGCCCAATATCTCAGCAGAGGCTCTCAGCAACTCTTGCAAATCAAACCTCTCTCTGTCATCATGCAGAAAAGAGAGCCTCATGTGTTCCCCTCCTCTTCTGCTGCGGTTGGAGCTAATGGACGATGACCTTCTGCTTTCATTACTAATGTCCCTGGCTCTTCCCTTGCTGAGACCACTTTCAGAATTCTCGATGCATGCTGCTGATCTTTGTCTTCTTCTGTGGAGGATGAATATGACTGCTCCAATCACAATCACTGCCACGCAAACAACTACCACAGCCACAATGATGCTCACTGTGGATGTCTTGGCCTTGCATGCTTCCAAAGGGGTTCCACATAACCTTTCATTACCTGCTCATGAATATACACGCTGGTTTAGATTGATATGGTACGCATGCTTCAGTCTCAACACATAATGAATCAGAATATATGATCATTAGATTTACTACGGATACGTCTAAATTTGCTTATGGCCACTCTGTCATCTGTTTTTACTAGAAGTTGGTTTTAACTTAAGAAGGAAGTTTAATTTATTTTAACTTTTTCTTTCATTTTTTTTTGTTTTATTACTAAGGAGTATTACAGTCAAATACATGAATTAATAATATCTCTCAAAAATTTGTTAGACATCAAATAGTTAAACATCTTCTCTCAACTTAAATTTTCCATGATTTTCTTCGCATGTAAGTATTTATTGACAAGTTTATTCAAACAAGGTTTTGCCATTGTGCTTTAACTTGGGTTAATTTCACTAACATTGTTATAAGAGTAAGTTTTATCTCGATCACATAACACTGACGTTCCCTTTACACCCTTTATAAAAGAACAATGATTGATAGACACCTCTCTATTCTAAACACTCATCAACACATTATTTTTCTCTAACTCCCTTTTCTTGCTAGATCATATCATTTGTATATAATTTTTTTTTCTCTTTTTATCTCACTAGGTGGCATTAAGGCGGGAGTATTTACTAATTGTTTATAAATGTGGCAAATACATGGAAAGGGAAAGACCAATGAAGCTCCTTTTCAATGGTTGTAACTTACGTGTAAAAGAGAAGTTATGGGAGATAATCGTGATCAGTTACCTAGCTAAGTGTGTGTGTATATATCATGCATGCATGCATGGCATGTGCATGTAATCTATACGTTATATATTAATTGCAATATTGAAATGTGTGGCTCACCAGAAAAAGAAGAAACCGGAAATTTACTAAGGGAAGGAGGAATTTGGCCATGCAACTGATTATTAGCGACGCTGAATGATCTTAACCTGTGTCTGTGAAAACGAGGAATGGCGCCAGTGAATTGGTTTCCATCCAACCTCAACTCCAAGAGCCTCGGCAACGAAGCCACCGAGATTGGAACTTCACCCGTGAACTGGTTGTTTGACAAATGGATTTTCTTGAGCCACTGCAAACCCTGAAAGGTTTGGAAAGGAATCTCCCCAGAGAACTTGTTGTTGGAAAGATAAATAGACTTTAGACCAATAAGGCGGTGAATCTCTGGCCATGGACCCTCAAGATCATTGTTCATGAAACTCAAGGTTCTAAGATAAGGCAAGGCCTTGAGGGACTCAACATCAATGACCCCTTTGAGCCCCATGTTCTCAAGCTTCACGCCCCACACTTTTCCTTGGTAGCAAAGAATGCCACGCCAATTTGCATGGCCATTGGTGCATGGAGGATTGGACGTGTTCCATGATGATAAGCCAGCGTTGTTTTCTAAGTTTTCCTTGACCTTGAGGAGCAATTCAGAATCAGAAGCCGCAGAAGAAGGAAGAATGTTGCTATTGGTTAAAAGAATGAAAAAGAATATGATCCAACAATGCCAACCACTTAGTGCCATAGAGAAGGGTAGGCACTAGAGGCGGCGGGCGCGCCCTGAAGAAGGGCTTGCTTGGCAATATCGGAGAGAAAAGGTGAAGTAGATCAGAAGAAGAATGAAGGGTTGGAGGGTTGAAAAGTTTTGATGGCATTGAAAGGGAAGAAAAGGAAGGCCAATAATAGGAGAAGGTTACACACAGGTTGACGAATTCCCTTATGATCATGACAATGTTTATTCAACGCGAGAAGGACCCGGACAGCCTTTAAATTTTCCACTTCTGCATCACTATTTTTAAACCTTAATCTCTTCTCATGACTCTGCATTGACCAAACATATCGCCCAACAATATCAATGTATATAATATAAGCTTCATGCATCCAATATCTCACAGTTCCACTAACTTATCCATTTAACCCTCTCAAGTCAGAGATTCTAGGACATATATAGTCAACTTCCACTCCAAATGCAGAGATAATTTCCTATTTTTCTCCCTACTCGATATTTCCTTCCGTGTTTTTTTTACAATTTGCTGAGGTGGAAAATGAGGTTATTCCTTTTTACAAAAAGAATGGGTAATAAGGAAAGATAAAAAAAATGATAACAAACGAAGGATAATGTTTGTGAACAATATAAGAGTATTTTTATTTATTTTTATCTTGGAATGTCTTTTAAAATGTGTGAATATAAGAAAGATAAATTAAAAAAAATGAGAGAAAAATAACTATGTATAATATCATGTCAATTTTTTTATATTAACTGAAAAAGATTTTTTTTAGAGGGAGGTCATTGCTAGGACACCTATTGATAATAGAATGATGGTTTTTCCATGTACTTCCATAGGAATTTCATAGTTGAAAATCAACAGTGATCACTTATTTGATTAAAGGTGAAATGGTCAAAGAAATTTCTACATTATTACCTACAAATACTTGCATATACATTATCAAGTCAGTAAATAAGTGTGTAGATATATTGGTTTATTTAAAAAATAATAATTTTCTGATAAAAATGGGAAAAAATATTTCTCTTATATATATATATACAAACAAGCTGAGAGAAATTATTTCTCCATTTGTTTTATTCATTCAAAACAATACATATTTTCCTTTATATTTCTCTCGTACTTTTTTCCCCCTAATTCGTTCCTGTCAAACAGCATCAAATTTACTCCGCGCATGTAAGATACTTCCAATTTCCTTCAATATATTTTCTTTTAACACTGATCTATAAGAGTTTTTTTATTTATTTTATTTTTTGTTCTCTTATAGATGTATTCACTTTCATTTTGATCCCCAAGTTAAAGTCAGTAATTTGGTTATAAATGCAAGTCGGCAAATAAACCAAAATGAAAGGAAGTCTATATATATATGAAGGATCCAAATGGATGAAAAAAAATTTGACATACCAAATAGGAGCACATGTGAATAGAGAGACAAAGCCAGACATATATATCACACGGAAAAGCAACTTAAAATAGACTACAATTTCAGCTGCAAGCTTAAAAAATAATAAATAAAAATGTAAATGTAAATGTACAGGAAATGAGAGCCAAGATGCCATTTTTTAGTAATCTAGTGCAATTTCATCGCTACAGCATCTCGTAATCATAAAATGACAATGCGGAATATGGAAGATCCAATTGCAAAATATTGCATTAAAACTCAGCCCCGGATTAAAATCTGCAAGTGTGACTGACTCTAAATTTGGTAGGAACCTAGCACACAAATTGGATTACAGCTTGTTTCCAAAAAATGAAAGATTTCTATGACTTCAACAATGCTTTACTCTACCAGAACGAAACATTTTTGGGGGTCAAATTCAGTATAACCTACATCAACTAGACATAAACCATCAGGGGGTGCTGGAGGAGCAGTAGCACGCCTACATGTTGCATCCATGAGCTTTATCAAGGCATCATCTTCAGCACCAGCAGCAGCTTCTCTAATTGAGGTCGCCACAAGCACTCGAACCATCTATAAAAATATCATTAGCCTCAAAAAAGTCAGTAAGTGAAAAATAAATAAACAAATACACCCGCCAGGGGTGCTTATCCCAAATATTATGGGGCATAAAAGAACTGTCGAAGACAAGCTAGACCCGTGACATTTCCACAATCCGGAACAGAAAAACCTTCAATGGGTAGAACGATAAAGCTTGTGTCCTTTAAATTGTTTCATTTGTATTGAAAGATCAACTTGTTCATATATAGAACGACAAAGGTCTAATTCAAAGCCATGTTAACATGTCAACTTCTATTCATATTTAGTTTCAATAACCTTTAAATGAAACAAATGATGCTTTACTTTTTCATTTTCATGTTTACATCGACAAATTTCATTATCTACATTTTAGTCATAGTTCCACATAAGAGAATCCAAAACCTTCAATGTATATGTTTCCTCTAAGGAAAGCAAAAAACACAACAGCAGTTACCTTTCGTAAAAAGCGATTAGCTACCAGCTCAACGCACATGACCTTTGTTTCTTCTCCATAATCCTAAAAATGTAACAAGCAAAATCAAACATAAATACATCTTTTCTCTCAACAACTATAGTACACAGTAAAACTAAGGAATCCGAGAAAAATCACAGTTAGAAGTGATTAAATTCCATTTGACACTAGGGGAGAGAAATGATTTGAAAGACGTCTTAGAAGATCTAATAAACACACATAATTAATGACACAAGAATTCACACAGCTTTTAAACAGCATAAACCCCAACATAAGGATAGTTTCTTGACATGATAATATATTTCATGGGAAAACCACAGGAATTTCTTTTGCTAAAACTACATATGTACTTGAGAAGAAAGTGAACAAAAAGCCAAGGACATATAAGTCATGCAAGTAACTATATATTCTAAATAGATGAAATCTGTTAATATTGAAAGCCATGGACAAATTGCATAATTTGCATGTTTACTATGAGTCCAACCAAACAGATATGCTCAAAGTCATTTGGTAGGTAGGCCAACACCAACAAAATTGAGTTGAATTCATTCCAATGCAGAATGAGCAAAATGGTCCAGACTTGTAATGAAAATAATGACAGAATCTTCAGCTAATTAACAAGACTCTATTATATATCTCATAATGTGTATTTGAAGAAAATATTAAAACCAAAGAGTCGCATCCCCATGGCTGCACTCTACAATGCTTAACTTGACCCATTCTGGCCTAGGGGTTACTGCAATTAAGGTGGTTTTCCAACACCCCCTTCATGCCCAGGACTATAGGTCAGAAGTGTGGCAAATTTGCAATGCAAGTGACCCAACAATGGATTTAAAATAGACTTTGATACCTTCTTAGAATTTAGATTAAGGGCCTAATTTAACCTTACAAAGTCAACTAGTAAGGTGAAGAGGCCTGTCTAATCCTTATAAGCTATACGTAAGTCATATCTCTAATTAGTGTAGGACTAAATTGCCTAAGAGTCACATTCTTGTGATTGCACTCTACAACATACTTAAGGAGGATTTCCAACACTAACAAATATTTGTGCACTCCTCAATAATTGCCCTTATTTCCCATATTCATTATTTAGTTGGACAAATTTATCCTGACTGTTCTAATGAATAATGTCATGAATAATTGGTTTTTCATCTAATGGTTAATGAATATGACTTGAATTCAAATCTTGGTTTCTTAGTCATGTTTATGCATAAATCAAGTGAAAGAATAAATGTGAATCCGAGCTAGAAATAAAATGCTGCCAATTTGGGGCAAGCCACATCCACAAGCTTAACCATACAGTTCAAGAGCCCCACAAACTCAAATAATTTCAATTATAGAATAAAAATTGTGGGCAACAAAAAAAGAGATATAGGAAAGACCATTAAAAAGGTTAAATGGTACTCACAGTTGAAGGCAGACTGACTTCCATAGCACGAGCATGGTAAACAAAACACTCAGTTGGTGGACCACTGAAACAGAACGACAGTTATAAGCCAATTTAATGAATGAGAATTCCCCTCTTATAAGTCATGGTAATGCCAAGTAAATATGTAAGTGATGTCATGAAACAACAAACTCCAGAGCTTAAACTATTAGGTGAAGGCATGTGAATTGTTTTTATATTATATTTCTAACACACCTCCTCACGCAAGAGCTGTTGCAGCCTTGAAGCATGGACAATCACGCCAACCTACTTTGTGCTAAAATTAAACTTGTTTTTATTAGAAGAATAAGGGAAGAAAGAATCAAATTCTAGTGCTCTTGATCATGAACGCTTTGATGCCATCTCATGAATCAACTATCTCAAAAGCTTAAGATGTTAGGTGAAAGCACATGAATAATTTCTATATTATATTTCTGAGATGGGGGCAAACTATTCCTTATGTGCTCCCAAACTAAACTTATTAAATTTGATTCATCTGAAATAATGGAAACAATTTAAGATTCAATTCCAAATATTAATTACACAACCATTAAATTTTGCTACCCTCTCAAAAATATCATGTGGTAGTTTCTATAATGTACACTGCAGATGAATGGGATAATGAAGTGAGTAGAGATAGAAATCCAAAAGTTCTTACTCATTTCTTGAAGCTTTTGTATCACGGGCAAACATCTTGTAAGATAGCAATCTTCCTTCCAACTTTCGCAAAAGCTGGTTTACCTTACTTACACTGAACACATAGGATTTCTTTTCATTTTCTAACTCATCCTTGTTGGCAGAATCATGAATTTCATTATATTTAAAACCATCACAAAACTCCCCATTGTCACTACTTTGGTCCCTATACCCTCCATCGATGAGTGGAAAAATATAAAGATAACGCCTCCATTTGGCAGAGAAATTAGGATGAAAGACACGTGACACCTACAATAAGTGATGCCTTGTCAGATTAACTATGCTGTGAAGTGTAAACAACAAAAAAACTCAAGTCTGCAAGCCATATTTTTGTTTTTGTTTTCTTTTTTCTTTTGACTAAAGGCAATTGATATTGAATAATAGCTTCACATTGCAGATTATTTATTACCTCAGAAACTGATATGACCCTAAGTTTTCCTGGTGCTGCATGATTGATAGCATCCTCAATATCTCTTGGTTTAACATCTTTCTTCCAAGTGTCTACATAATGAACCGTAGATCAGGGGCACAAAGGCTTAACCAAAACCAAAGAATGTTAAAAATGAACCCATTATCCACCCACCCTGCATGCCTCAATAATTGTTTGGGGGTGGAGAATTAGAGGTGGCAAACGGATGAAATTAGATTATAATGAATCTGATGAAAATAATTCATTTATATCTACTAAAAGATTATAATGAATCCAATCCATCCGATCCATTTAAAAATATATATATATCCAATCCATCAATTAGCAGTTTTTTAATGGATGGATATCTAATCCATCCATGAATAATATGTTTAAAAAATTAAATAACTTTTTTTAAAATGTTTTTTAAAAAAATATTATAACTCATTACATTATATAATCTTTAAAAATCCTAAAAACTTTTTCATGCCAAAATAGTCTTTTAAAATATCAATTCAATACACTCCTCTTGTTGTAATCCAATGGATTTTAAAAAATAGTGGATGGATCATAAAATTAAATGGATGGATTGGATCCAATCTATCATTATTATATTTGTATAATGGATGAATTTGATAGATTTACTTATGGATGATGGATAAATAGATTGTTTTGTCACCCCTAAGAAAAATTATGTAACATCTGATCATTTTCTTTCCTTTCATGCATAACAATAATTTACTACATTGAAAAATATAGCCCTACATAATTTAAGCTATTTCCTACAAGACTATAACTTGTGCTCATGCAAGAATGTTTTAGTGTTTTCGATTACATACATAAGATGATGGATAAATAGATTGTTTTGTCACCCCTAGGAAAAATTATGTAACATCTGATCATTTTCTTTCCTTTCATGCATAACAATAATTTACTACATTGAAAAATATAGCCCTACATAATTTGAGCTATTTCTTACAAGACTATAACTTGTGCTCATGCAAGAATGTTTTAGTGTTCTCGATTACATACATAAGAACATGGGAATATTCTACTGAAGAATTGCTAAAAGGATTTCTTTGGTTCTTTCAAAATCTGATAACAGGCTTTAGTTAGTATTTCATATATTACAACTTAAAAAAGACTTCTATCAAAAGTTCTTATAGTCCTTGTCTAAACCTTAATCTAGTTTCATCTATGAATTATGTTGTAAATATCAAAGATATTTTTAGGAGTATTAAAAATATGTGTTTGCAATTAAGCAAAACAAGGTCACATTCTCAAAAAACCACATTTGGAAGCTTTCAAACCAACAATATTCGAGATCCAAAATATTTAAACTTGAAATTAAGTCAGACAATTGATTAAGAGACAAAGACGAGGTCAATGCATCTGGGAAATAGGTTGAGGTCAGAGCATCAGGGATAGAGAGCTGGGCTAGTGTGAGTCATATAAGTCACCATTGGAATAATCATTGACCAAAATGATGTCACCACTAATATGATTTATCTGAGGGAAAAGAGTCACCACTAATATGATCCATTAGGGAGAAAAAGAGTTTCATAACAAACACCAAAGAGGCAAACAACAGAATAAAGCTAAATAGTATCATATTTGAACTTCGAACATCATAAAATATAACGTTTAAGCAAGTTAATGAATGAAGAGACCCAAAATTGCAAAACATTTATAGATCGGTGACTAATAATAATTGGAGTTCCAAATTTTTGGGAACCCGACACAGAATAGTGCTGGGACGGGTCATGGAGGATGGTACTGCTCTGATACCATGTTGAAAGATAGAAAAACTGATGCAAGATGTAGAAACCGTGTCTTGACTACACAATAGATTCCATTTTTATATTTATATTCCTATTTGCATGATATGCTAGGCCTATAATTACAAAGATCCTAATTAAATGAGGAAAAAGATCACAAAATAGAAAATAAAAAGATAAATCCTGACAAATCATCTAGGATACTCTAAAATGGTTTAAAGATATAAAAAAAGATATTATCAAATATTTCTCAAATTTTTTAACATGGGATTCATAGTTGCTTGAGCTGGAGCCTTGACCATGATTATTGACATACCATTTTTCCCCCTCAATCATAACAGTTTTACTCATAAACTTTTGAAATTTATTAAATCTAATTGTTATATACAAATACAATAACAAGAAAGGTTTTATTTTCAAGTACCTATACAATGTTTAGTCTTTATGATAGTAAAATTCATAAATGTTATGATGCAATAAATTGAGATATAAATACAAAATTAGGAAAAGGTATTCTTTGGAAATTCAAAGTTAGATGTCTGTTACATCATACATGTCTAGGCATCTAAGATACCACACCAAATGAAGTTGGAAATCAGCACATTTGAAGTCAGAAATTTCCAAATAAATCAAAATATTTACTGCAGATTGTATAACTGTAAGCACATAAATTCATAAATATGAGGTCGAATAGTGATATCTTTGTCTCAAATACTGCACTTGTAAAAGAGACTTTGAGACTCCAGTTTTATTTTACATGCTGAAATCGGAGTGTATGACAATTCATACATAAATACAAAGACTTGGACAAAGCAAAAGCATTGCAAATAATAGGGAAATGACTTACAGAAAGAACAGACTTGTTGAAGGCCAGTCACTCCTTTGTCTGTCCGACCAGCAACAACAGCACAACCTTCAATGGGCAAACCTTTGTCCTTAAGCAGTTGAGTTTTCTTTTCATCCACAAATTTACCGAGTGACCCTTCTACTATGCTGCATGAAGAAATGAGTGCAAGAGCAAGAAGCAGAATGATCATCCAATAAGTCCTGGACAAATAATGGATGCTTCCTATGACATGCAGTTTGCAATATGCACAAGACTGAAGTTGTAACAAGAGCAACTTGCCTTTGGACTGTGTTCAAGCCTGGCTGCTTTTGCCACCCATCAAAAGAACCCCCGTGATACGAAAGAACAATTTTGAACGTCATCCTTGCCCACCTCCCACTGCGATCCTCAGATGCAACACTTTCCAACTCACTTTTATCAGAAAGTGCTGCGGAAAGTGTTGCAATTCCAGTATCATTATGATCAACAAGTGTCTGACAGAAAGTCATGAATTAACATACAAATAGTCAAACATAGTACTCACACACCCAATCATGAATAATATAGCATTGCATTCGTAATAAACCTGTAGAAATCAGAAATTAGGGTACCAATATTAAAAGCGGGAAAATTACCAAAAACAAAAAACAAAAAACAAAAAACGTGATGAGGGTGCACCTCGGTTCCAAAGAGAAGTGGCAGAGACAAGTTGCCACGGACAATGTTGAAGTAAAATTCATTGACTCGTTGCCAAGGCCTTGCATACATAAATTCGAAGCTCTCTCTGCGAAATTTAAATAACATCCATTGCAATTAAATTAAAATGAAAGGAAGAGCCTTTTATATAAGATTGCTATGAAATCAATGTAAGTGTATAATCGAAATTACAAAAAAAATAAAAATAAAAAAATTACCTAGCAGTCCATCTTGGGAATTTGGAGGGATGAGTGTGGTTGTAATGCACGTGAGTTTGAGATTCAGTTTCAATTTCTGGTTGGTTAGTCATGGAAATGGAATGAAAGAGTAAGTGGTTGTTTGAAAGGGGAACTTGTCTGGGGAAACAGATGAATATATGTTTGGCAATACTAAGCATATAGCAGAAATGGAAAACACAGCTATGGTATATCTCTCTTATTCAAAGGGAATTCTTCCAACTTCCAACCCTGAATCAATTTCGCTACTTTTTTAGTATAATTTCGACACACGGTTAGGTTAATCTAATAGTATTCAAAAGAGAATACAAGCAGAGACAATTATGTTTTTCTTCTTTTTCCAGACATAACTATAACTGGGCGCCGAATATCCAGTACCCCAGTTCACAAAATCTCACAATTGAATACAATTATACAATGCATGCCATTAGGTTTCAAACTCCCTCAGACCATAAAAGGTCAAATAAAATAAAATAAAAATTATATATTAAAATTTTTTTTTTTAAGTTTACGATAGTTCCCTTATTTTATCTTTTAATTTTTATAATTTAAAATTAATATTTTAATTTTTATTTTTATTTTTTTTTACTTTTTTAATCTCTATAATTTAAAATATTTTTTTAGTCTTATATTCAAAGTTTTTTAATCTTTTTAATTTTTATTATTAAATTATTTTATAATATTATCTATTTTGTATTGATATGACAAATATTAAAAGAAACACAAATTTTAAGACTTAATTTTTTAAGCAATCTAACAAAATAAATTTGATATTAAATACATAAGATTAAGTTACAATATAAAATAGACAATATTATAAAAAAATTAATGATAAGGACTAAAAAAATTAAAAAATAAAATAAATAAATTTATATAAATTAAAAAATATTTTATTAAAAATAAAAAATATATGTATTTTTACTCTTCTAGAATTTAAAATAAATTTACTTTTATCAGTCAACTGTTATCCAAAATCTAAAATTGATATTTTTAGTATATATATTTAAATAAATAAATAAAATTTGTTTTAATCCCAAATTTATTTTTATCAGTCAACTGTTACCCAAAATCTAAAATTGGTATTTTTAGTATATATATTTAAATATCTAAAATTGAATATGTGAAATAAAACTGAATTATTACTGTTGCAAATAACTTACCCATTAGTACCCTTACCTTTGCTTGAATCAAGTCGTTATTGCACAAATGAATCTGTTCTTATTAGTGATGTCTTTATGTCTCTATGCTACCTTCGGTTCTAAAGAACTAAAAAAAATGAAAATAAGTCTTTTTTTTAACTAGAGAAAAATAATATTAATATTCATGTCCAATACAAAATAATATATACATTATTTTAACAATACTATCAGTTAGAAAGATTAGTTATTTTTATCGATAGATATTTCATACTAATAATATAATTGTTCAAAAAAAATATCCTAAATAGTTTTTAAACTATTGAAATTATATAAGTATTAACTAAAGTATTGCATATCCATAAATTCAGTTTTGGGTTGATATATTTTACTATATTAAGGGGTTAATTAAAAGTATAAAATGATACTTTAGAAACTATGTCGCATAATACGTAATACTTTTACTTATACAGTTTTAGACTTTTAGTAGTTTTAAACTTGTTAAGAAGGAAAAGTGATACTTCATAGATCAAATCAAATTGAGTATTTATTTTTGTTTGTGTAGAGTATTGTTGTTGAAGTAAAGAGTTGTAGAACCTTTTTTTTTTTTTTAAATCAAGCAATATATTATTTAGTTTTAATTAAATAAAATAAATTGGAAAATATGTGAACTTTAAAATAAAATGTGTTCTCATAATTAAAAAGCTTTTAGAAAGTACAAAGGATTTTAAAAGTTACTTTAAGAAGTTTTAAAATTTTGCCTACTAAACCCAAAAAAAAAACACTTTTTAAAACCTTCTTACATTATAAACCTAATTTTGTTCTTCTTCATGTCTCATTGGAAGCCCTAGTGCCATTAGAGTCGTTGCTCCCAAAAAACAATGAATCATAGGAATGTCATCACTTGTTTTTTTATTTCTCTATATGAGAGAAAGTCAAGTTGTCTCATTCATAGGCATGACTTAGATTTTGAATAGAGAAGTTTATCTTATATCTCAACTGTTTGCTATTGTATGATTATGCGTGAGGGGAGTGCAATGTTCCCCAAGTCCCTATTATGTATGGTGATTAATTTATTGACTGAATTGTATGTTAATGTAATGTAATTTTTTAAATTAATTAGTTTTCTTTTACCTTTTATTAATGGCTTGATTATATGTTCTTTGATTTTTTGGGTGGTGTGGTGTATAATAGGTAAATAATTATTGACTGTATTTATATAGTAAAAACATTTTCAAGAGACTATATAGTATTTGAGTAGAAAATTATAGTTTTGTGGTGACCTTAATAGGAAGAAAAACCAAAATTATAGTTTTATACTATCAATGCAAGATGCAAACAACGAGCATTGAAGAAATAAGAGTGAGGTTTTGCCAAATGTGTGAATCATGAACATTTGACGTTAAGTGATAATGCATTTTTGCTAGGGGTAAAAGTCGTAGATAGCTACTAAAGTGTTGGGCCAAGTGTGGAAGTCCCTATGCTAACAGTAGAAGGTGTTGTAGGCTTGGCTTTAAGCAAGCTAATGGTCTTACGAAGAGAGAGAAGAACAAAGACATGGGTTATGAGTATGAAGTGTTCATGCTATACAAGCATGCAACTGTGATAAGCGTGAGTAGTTTGAGCACCAAGTGATTCCTGTTCTCATGAAGTGATAAATTATTGCATTAAACAAATAATGAATTTAAAGTGTGATTCACTAATGATTCTGTGTTGATATTGATCATATAATATGCAAATGAGTGTATGATTTGAGACATATGATATCACTATGACAAGTGACCTAATATGTGAGAGGTACGAATAGGCTCAAGTGATATCATATGAAGAGTAATGTATATACATCGAATGAGACATGCATCATGACATTGTCATATTGTATGACAAAAAGTAGCTATTAATTTGGATGGTGGAGGTTATGCCAAGTTTAGCTTGGATCTTAAGTGTTTTAGAAGCCAATTTAAATCCTACAAGAAAAAGGCATACTTACAAAGTTGAGTAACGTAATTAGTCACCAAATGACATCAATATAGTGTAATATGATCTATATCATAGGCATTGGACGTCAATGTCCCTTCTTATGGATAATCATTTACTCCTAAACTAATTCTTTAGTACTTGTAAAGTTGGGTAACTCTAATTACTTATTAAAGGATATCATTATAGAGTAACATGGTTTATCTAATATGAGCTTTAAAATTCTAGCTATTAACCTACCACATGTCTACCTTAATTGGAGTTTGATTACTGAGTGAGAATATGATTGGTGATATTCATCTCTGTCGAAGCTCGCTCCCGAATTATGTATTCAAAAGTATGACAAAGTGTTTCTTAATGACAAAAAACCCTTAATAGTAACACCACCATCAACTATCTTATCCATTACCTCAATAAAGTTGAAGGATAATCCCAATCATATGCAAGTAAAATATTGTTTGAAAATTTGAACCGAGCCTAATTAGCTACAAGAATACTCATTTTTGAACAAAAAAGTCTTAAAGGAGACAATTTTAGAGAAACAATTAATCGCTCTCAATAAACAATTTTTATCTAACATAGAATTCTTATACCAAAATAATTATAATTAATTTTTTTTATAAAAAACAAATAATACTCATTTTACACTATCATTTGTTTATTATAAAAAACCTAGAAGAAATATAATTTATATATCATAAAATTTTAATTATAACTATTTATACCTATTATAAAAGAGATATTAATATGTATAATTATTTTTGATCTCCATTTTTAATACACTATTATATTTTTTAATATTAAAAAAGTAATAATCTATGATATTTTTTTTTTGAATATGCATCCAAACCATCTATTTTATTATTTATATATATATATACATGGTGCACAGTTGTGATGATAAAATTCAAACCTAATCGACACCATTTTGGTTAAAAATCTGCATATTTTATTATTATTTTCATATCTCAGGAAATGAACGGAAAAAAATAAATATTTTTTTTATAATATCTCAGGAAAGAAAAGGAAATACATTAATTAGTTAATTAAAAACAATGAGAGAGGAGCGTTAGAGGGAGAGAACAGTGAAAAATAAATTAGAGGAACCCTCGATTTGTGCTACTGCTGCGTCCGCTCTATCTTTTACAATTTTCTTTCCTTCTTCTGCTTTCCGTTGATTCCAGTTTCACAACCTTCAAGCTTCAACTAAGCACTTGTAAGTTCATTTTTCTTCCACTAGGGTTTTATTTTATTTTTGCCTTTTATCTTCAAAAAATCACTTCAACTCATATTCGCTGCTGAAAAGTAACCGATATCATGCACCATTCCGAATACATGTATGCATGGCTTAAATTTATCTGTAATTGATTGATGTTATGCAGTTAATTTTGCAATCTGGAGCCATGAGTTCGTCTTCAGTAGATGCTTTTCCAGCAGTTCAGGTAATAACGCCTTTGAATTTTGCATTTATATAGAGAAATAAAGAATAAAATAAATGATTTCGCTCCATATTTGGTCATGAAATTTTCTATATGTTGAGCCAAACACAATCTGGATTGTTGTGCCAAAGCTTATGCTGGTGCTGTGCTAGATAGTTTATTGCAATAAGGATCCACAATACTTAAAATGTAGATGGTGATGATGTGTGTGTTAAACTTGCAAAATGTGGCTTGCCATTGTGATTTAATGGTAAATTTGTTTTGAATTTGATGAATATTGTCAAAGAGATCTGGGATCAAAGTGTTAGTGTTTTTTCACTGTGTTTTTCCCTCTTTGGTTTTTGTTGGATGAAATATATATTGACAGGAAGTTATGCTGGAGTTTCGTGCTGGTAAAATGCTTCTCGAGGGAAAAAGGGTTGTTCCTGATACAAGGAAAGGTCTTGTTCGAATTGCTAGGGTATGGTTTACTTGAATGTCGAATATTTATCTTTATTATTCCTTGTGTTTTAAACCCATGACTGCCACTGGAATTTTTAAATTGATTGCTTTTGTCTCAGGGGGAGGAGGGATTAGTCCATTTTCAGTGGCTTGATCGCACTCAAAATGTTGTTGAAGATGTATCCTTTGCTTTCCCTCCCCAATTTTGCACACTTGGTCATCGTCATTTAAGTGATGCACAATTATGTTCCTTCTTTCTGGTGAAAGTATTTTATACTCTCTTGTTTCTTGATTTGGTGTTTGTTATTCTCTGGAAGTGAATATCTTTTGGTTTCTTTTTGAGGCTGATTCAAGTATTCCGTAATGAAATAGACATGATAAAGATCTGGGGTTTTAAAAATAATTATGAAAATACTACCTTGTTTATGGTAGGCCGATTGTGAATGTTTAGAAGGCGAGGGAAGAAAGGAAATGTAGAAGGAGGGGGAAATGTGGATATTGAGCATAAGCAGCAAGGTCTGTGGGTGTATGTGAGGAAAAATAGGCAGGTGGCAAAAGAGGTCAAGCAAAGAGAAATGTGAAAGGAAAATATAACAGAAATGGCATCTGGCAATAGTGGAGAAGAGGAGGGAGATGCAGGAATCATAGAAGGATAAAGAGAAAAGAGGTATTTAGAGGGAAGTAACATAATGGATGGGCATGCTAGGCAGTCAATTGCACTGCTTTAACAGTGATTTGTGCTTTGCATACACCCTTTTGCTGGAGGTGCTATGCAAAACCTGGGTGAGATGTGGATTTAGGGTCGCCGAGGGTGTGGCCATGTTTTGCAGAGGAATCGCAGTGCCCATCTGTGTAAGCAGCTGTGATTTCCATTGTCAGGGGGAAAATTGAAATTTCCCATGTTTTGTACCGTTTCAAATTTGTTTTTGTTTTTAATTTGTTAAATCTTTTCTGTTATGACCCCCCTATTAAATAGTCTTTTTCATTTCCCTTTGTAAACGTATTACCAAACTGCCCGTATGAATACTTTTGTCCCTGTTTTTAAGTGAATGTGGACGTTTTCTAAGTTGTGCCTATTACCAAATTACATTAACTGACTTGCCCTAGTTTAAGTTCCCACTTCCCTCACAGCTGTCCACCTTTGTTCTCCAATTTCATCTTAGTTCTTCTCGTTAGTTCTTCTCCTATTTCCCAGACCTTTTATTTCTTTTCACCATGACATCATCTCAACCATGACTACATCTTTACTCTTAATTTGTGTATTTTTCTATTTTTCAGTATTTATATTTATGATATAAAATTATGAATATGTATATTTTTTCTGGACTTCGCAATAGCAGAAGCCCCACTATCTGCTATCCTTCTTTAGTGATTTTGTGAATGGCCGCTCTGTGCCACTATCCGGGATTGACTACTTAGTGGGCGTGATGAGTTTGAGGTGGGAATTGTAGGGACTGAGCCTTGAGGAGCAATCCTCGTCTCTATAAGGGGGTATTCTCATTAGTGAGTATCTTTTTATTCTTCATTTCTGCTAGGAGACTCTCTCCAACCATTGTAGCCAATGTAATATTTCATTTGCCTTTCTACCGAGCATACTTCATCAGAATTTTATGAGAAGTACAAGTTCATTTCTATATTTTGTGTTAATTCTGTTTGTGCCTATTAGTTTTCACTTGATTTCTTATTTTAAAGAAATTATATGAGAAAAAGTTGAAACAGGATTCTTGCTGTGGGTTGTGCAATATACATATAAGTTTTAAGATTGCATTTTGTGTAACAATGATGGGTGAATGAAATCTTGAGATTGACCTGTGAACTTATTAATCTTTCACTTAGTTTGTTCTCAATGTAATAACTCAGTCTCTGTCATTCTCCAGGAGTTTTCATTTCTTTTACATCTTTAATTCAAAGTGAAAATTGGTTTTGTACTCAAATTCAATGTTTTCGGAGTTGTTCTTTCTGCTCCTTTCTGACCATTATTCTATTGATTATCATTCTTTTTATACTGTATCTCTGATATTTGAAAGTGAAACATTATGTTGCTTCTTGTTGCTGGATTTATCTTGATTTTCCTTGACCCAAGCTAACACAGGATCAAATAATATTTCCCAATGAGGCTATTTTTGAGAAGGTTCCATTGCTTTACTTTCAATCATTTTGGTTATGTTATTTATTTGATGATTCTGACTGCTCTAATTCTTGGTTGCATAGGTTAATCAAACATCTGGAAGGGTTTATATATTGAAGTTTAATAGTGACGACAGGAAGTTCTTCTTCTGGATGCAGGTTGTTTTTATTACTTAATGTCCTCTTATCTACCTAAGTACTTTACCCATATAATTAGTTCTTACATTTCTACGTGATCCTTCATTGTGTCTAGGAATCAAATGCTGATGGTGACTCACAACTGTGTAGCTCAGTGAATGATTACATTAATAGACCATTAGGTTAGTTGCCTTCTTTTTTGCTTTAAAGTAGAAAATGCTGAGCTTCCTTTCTGCTAACTTAAGCATTTATCATCCTGCTTAAATGTCATTGTGAAATATGTTTTTTTGGTTCTTAATGTGAATGAAAGCATTAGCAAAGTAGTCATGAGTCAATACAACAATTTTCTAGGTCAATTGTTGAGTAGCATTTGAAGTACAGAATAGTCTTCTCTCTGGTCCTTTATATAAGAAATAAATGGGTGCATTTTTTTTTGTCCCAATTTTTAGATACATAGACTCACTTTCAGTTGTATTAATTGCTAATTTCCTTTTATACCTTAATTTGTCGTGAAATCTGTTAACGAGACACTCACTTATTCCTCATGCAAGTGGATGCATTCATTGACTTATTAACCATACAAGTCTCACTCATTGGTGGGAGAAAATATCCCTTTGAATTATGTTTAGTGTCATTAAGTATAATTACTAAAACCATTTAACTCTGAGTGTTTCTAGAATAAAATTTAAATTATAACATTGTTAATTAAAATTAGTTGATGAATTAGTTATTTGTTTCTCATATAAAGGACCAAAGGGAGTATTAAAGTTTGCTTTCGTTTTGTTTGGTTCAGAGAAATTTAATAAATTGGAAACCACTTTGATAGGCCTCTTAAGAATGTATATAGAAGGAAAGGAAATAGAGGGGCTGTGGAGTAGTGAAGGGATTTGAATGGGCTTAGGAAACCAAGCCTGTTGGTGTATGAGATAAGGAATAAAAAGATGTAACAGATTGGATATGTGGCAGTAAGAGTGGAGAGGTTATGTGAGAATCATGCAGTGGGGCCCAAGGGGGGAGAGAGAAAGTGGCTATGTGTGGAGGGAGGTAAGTGAATGATCAATGAAGGGGGGATTACTCTCTGGGATTTTGGGTGGTGGTTTTGAGGAGAGGCTGGCTCTCCTCATCATCTGGGTGTTAGCTTTCTTTTTGTTTTATTTGCTTAGTTGCCTAAATCCATACTTTTAAGGAGATTATCTCCAACCACATTTTTTTTTGTGTTTTTCTTTGGATTTCTCTTATTCCACTGTGATAGACCTGGTATGGGTACAACTACTATTTAGAAGTATCGATATGTCAGACTTTAATTGATTGCTTAAGGACAGTAATTGACAGACCTTACAAGTATAACTTCTAATCTTAGATTGATGTTTTTGTTTAGTTTTCTGTTATTTTTTTATGGGATATATAACACTAAAGCATTTTGTAGATTTTGTTTTTTGGGTTGTTCAATCCTTTTGATTAAGGTGGCCCGTATTTTCTCATTATTGGAACTATATTATTGCAAGACCCAGTAGTCTGAGTTGGCTTCATATTATCTTACATATACGTAGCTTATTGAATCTTACATTTCATCAATCCACTGGCTAATAGATACTATGATAATATATTTAGAGGTGCTCTCTAGCTATGGAACACTACTGATTTTTTTTTTAAGTTGGCAACATTTTTTATTTGGTTTTGACTCCTGGATTACTCTGGATATTGTTATGAATAATTTATACAGTCATTTATAACATGCTTCAAATTATCCCTATAAATAAGACGATTATATACTGATTAACAGAGTTAATTGGCGAAGAGGAGCCTGATGGATCCCTTCCACTTCAAGTTTCTGAAGATATGGCTGAGGATGACATCTCATCTAGGTACAAATACTTTATTTCTTGGTTTGGTTTTCTCTCTTGTAATTGATGAAAGTAATCTGCATTTGCTAAAGATCTCATGTTGACTAGTGATATGATTGAAATAGAGAATACAAGTTTTTTTTTT